GAATTTTTGTATATAATCTGAGATATAAAATGAAGATCCTTTTATATGAACATGGATACTCAGTTATCCCAGAAGAATGTGTTAAAAAGATAAATTTTCTCCACTGCATTTATTTTTACATTCAATCTCAGCCAAAAGGCCGAGAAGCTATCCACTCCATTTATTTTTTAAATGAATTATCCATTTAAGTGTTAGTCTATTTTTGAAATACAATTTCAACATTTATTTTAAAGGGTACAAGTGCAGATGTGTGACATCAGTATATTGCATGACTTGAGGTTTGGGCTACAAATGATCCCTTCATCCTGGCAGTAAGTATATTACCCAATAGGTGGTTTTCAGCTCATGGTCCTCTCCCTCCACCCACTGTACAGTAGTCCCCAAAGTCTATTGTTCCCATCCCAACGTATATATACGTGTATTCAGTGTTTAGCTCCCGCTTATGAGTGAGAACATTCAGTATTTGATTTTCTGTTTCTGCATTCATTCACTTAAGGTAATGACTTCCAGCTGCATCCACGTTCCTGCAAAGGACATGATCTCCTTGTTTTAGATGGCTGCGTAGTATTCCACGGTGTGTATCTACCACATTTTCTTTAACCAATCCACTGGTGATGGGTGCCTAGGTGGCCTCCGTGTCTTTGCTATTGCAAATAGTGCTGTGATGAACATGCTAGCACATGTGTCTTTTTGACAGAAAAATTTGTTTTCTTATAAATATATTTCCAGTAGTGGAATTCCTGAGTTGAATAGCAGTTCTGTTTAAGTTCTTTGAGAAATCTACAAACTGCTTATACAGCGATCAAACTAGTTTGCATTCCCACCAACTGTTTGTAAGTGTTTCCTTTTCTCCATGGTTTGCCAACACCTGTTATTGTTTGACTTTTTATTAATAGCCATTCTGACTAGTATAAGATGGAATTTCATTGTGCTTTTGATTTGCATTTCCATGATACTAGTGATGTTGAGCATTTTTTCATGTTTGTTGACCCATTGTCTGTCTTCTTTTGAGACATCTGTTCATGTCCTTTGTGCTTTTTTAATTGGATTATTTACTTATTGCATATTGATTTATTTAAGTTCCTTATAGATTCTGGATATTAGACCTTTATCAGACACTTAGTTTTCAAATATTTTCTTCAATTCTGTGGGTTTTCTGTTTACTCTGTTGATAGTTTCCTTTGATGTTCCACAGCTCTTTAGTTTAGTTAGGTCTCACTTGTCAGTTTTTGTTTTCATTGCAATTGTTTTGGGGACTTAGTCATAAATTCCTTGCCAAGGCCAAGATCAAAAAGCTTTTCCTTCATTTCTTCTGGGATTCTTATAGTTTGAGGTATTATATTTAAATATTTGATTCATAGTGAGTTAACGTGTATATAATGTGAGAGGTAGGGGTCCAGTTTCATTCCTCCGCATATGGCTAGCCAGCTAGCCCAGTACCAGTCGTTGAATAGAGGGTCCTTTCTCCATTGCTTAATTGTGTTGACTTTGCCAAAGATCACATGGGTATGTGTGTATAGATTTATTTCTGCATTCTTTACTTCCCATTGTTCTATCTTTGTTTTTGTATGAGTACCATGCTGCTTTGGTTACTGTAGTTTAGTTCAAAGTCATATAATGTGAAGTCTCCACATTTTCAAAGAACACTAATGTGTTTTTTCTGCTTAAGTTTGTTTTGGCTATTTGGGCTCTTTTTTAGTTCCATATGAATTTTAGGATAGATTTTTCTAATTCTGTGAAAAATGACATTGGTGTTTTCATAGGGATAGTGTTGAATCTGTAAATTGCTTTGGGCATTTAAACAGTATTGATTCTACCAATCCCTGAGTATAGACTATTTTTCCATTGATGTGTGTCATCTGTAATTTCTTTCAGCAGTGTTTTGTTATTCCCCTTATAGATACCTTTTTCCGTCTTGTTTAGCCATACTCTTAGGTGTTTCATTTATTTGTGGCTATTGCAACTAGGATTGTGTTCTTGATTTGATTGTCAGCTAGAATGTTGTTGGTGTACAGAAATGCTACCGATTTTTGTACATTGATTTTGTATCCTGAAACTTGACTGAATTTGTTTATCAATTCCAGGAGCTTTTTGACAGAGTATTTAAGGTTTTCTATAAATGGAATTGTATCATCAGCAAAGAGAGATAGATGTGTTCTTCAGTTCCTATTTAGATGTTTTTAATTCTCCTTTCTGGTTTCTCTGGCTAGGACATTCAATATGTTCTTAAATAGGAGAGGTGACAGTAGGGATCCTTGTCTTGTTCCAGTTCTCAAGCAAAATGCTTACAGCTATTGCCCATTCAGTGTGATGTTGGCTGTGACTTTGTCATAGATGGATTTTATAATGTTTAGGTATTTTCCTTTGATGCCTAGTCTGTAGAGAGTTTTTATCATGAATCAGCTATGCATTTTTTTGAAGACTTTTTCTTGTCTATTGAGATGCTCATGTCATTTTGGGTTTTGATACTGTTTATATGGTGTATCACATATATTTATTTTTGTACGGTGAACCAACCTTCCATACCAGGAACGAAGCCTTCTTGATTGTGGTGAATTTATTGATGTACTGCTGGATTTGTTTTGCTGTATTTTGTTGAGGATTTTTTCATCTATATTCATCAAGAATTTTCACCTGAAGTTTTTGTTTCTTTGTGTTGTCTCTGCCAAATTTTGGTATCAGGATGATGCTGGCTTTGTCAAACGAGGGGAGTAGCAGCCTCTTTT